CATTTTTTTTCCATAACTCGGACATTCGGTGGTTTAGCTGGTTCGCGGTTCAGGTTGACCGTACGTTTTGAAATCATTTGCAATCAAAAGCGAACACGGACCAGTGACAGCGTCGGTTCGTTAATGCAGACGCGTTTTCGCCGATTTACTGACACATTCCGCCAGTGGTGGCGGATTGTACCCTGACCTGATTCTACTTTCGAATCTATCTTTAAATCTCTCGGCTGCGCGTACCACGCTCGGGGGATGTTCGCGTATCTGGCCCGTGCTAACGAACCCCCGGCAAGAAGACAGCTATATCACCCGGTTCATCCAATTTCCTTCTCCCTACGCTTTTCTCTTCCTCTCTTTTCCTCTGCTTCTCTGTTACAAGAGGTTTAAATAGTTCGAATGTGAAGAAATTTAAAAGACATTTAAGTTTTCTGGAATCGCGTATCGCGACTTGCTTGTTTGTTAGATTTCGCGCCTCGACGAGCTCGAGGTTTCACGATTTTTCCACCATTCGTTGATGTGGAATGGACTGATGAACACGCGTACGGAACATCGAATTCGACTACAGCTATGCAAAAATTGATTTCGGCCTCGGACATAAAAGTGGCGTCCTCCGTTCCCCTCCTCTTCTCTTCTTCGTGCTTCTTTTTTTATTTTTTGTTTATTTTTTTTTAATCGTTATTCCGTCTCGCCAAAATACATACAAAAAATGGCATTTTATTTGCCAGGAAATAAATTCCCCAATTTTCGAGTGTATTTCAATTTTCAAGGAGGTTGCGAACACGTGTACGCGTTATTCGTTCGATCAATGTATTCCATTATAATGCGAACAAAAGGATCGTCGCGCGTCGAGGTAAATTGAAACACCGTCGCGGGCATGTCGCCTTTCCATTTCAATCTCGTCTTTCGACGTTCCTTTAATTGCTACTTACAGTTAGTTGTCGAAACCGCGACAGCCATGGATGACCAACTTTCCATCTGCCAGACGAAGTAAAATCTTTTAAGCTGATAAATGTAGAGGTACGTATCTTGTATCTATGATCAGTGGCAATGTACGTAATCGAGTTATTCGCAACTGTGAAACAAGTTCGTCCATGGCGAACAAAGTTTTCGTATATTTCGCAGAAAATACTCGATTCCGAGGAATTAAATAACATAATGAAAAATATTAAACCTTTGTGTTTCTAGCCTCGTTAAACGTTTTATCGTATCTATTAGGTTGTCCAAAAAGTTCCTTTCGTTTCATAAGGTGATAATAGATGAACAAAAATTTCTGTTTTATATCGTTTTACTGAATTAGGTGTGATCCATTTCGTTCTATTTCTATTATTATATTCGTGCGTAATTCGATGAACTAATATAAAATAAAAAAACATTGTGCGTCTATTATTTCCTTATAAAACGAAGGAAACATTTCGGACAACCTAATACTTCTTATTTAATAGGTTTAAAGGCCCTTCGTAATGTCACTAGATTTATGCATCTTCGAAGCTAATGGAAACATTCCATCTTGATCAAGTTTTGATACATAATAATCGATTTTACTTGCTGGAAGTAAATTGGAACGCAGAACGGCGAAAGGTTAAGAGAAGAATATGAAACTGTTTACGATGTGGCAGTGAAACGAATTGAATGAGTTGTAAAAAGTAGGTATCTTATGTTACATCTTTCGCGCGTAGAATAACACGGGAAGTCAATTTATGCGAAAGAAAATCGTAAGGTTCCATTGAAAAAGTATACTTACACATTGTAACCGTATCAGCGTGTCTGTGAAAAAGAAGTTACAAAGCAGGATGACTTTTTCGTACTTCGATTAAGACAGTTACAATTCATTTACTACAATTATTCTACCTCTTTCTATAAATTAAATTAAGGTACGACTTGTTATTTCAGGATCAAATGTCAATTGTAATAATAACATTCTCCAAATCCGTATAAATTTGCTAGAAGAGTGACGCGACGCAGGAACGTAACTTTGTTGGAAAATCGATTTGAAATAGACAGTTCGAAGTAGAAACTTATTAACTATTCGGTCATTTGGTAATGAAAAGTTTCTGTTCCCTTTCCAATTTTACTGATATGCTATTTTACTCTTTGCTTTGAAATTCTCTGAAATAGAATATTGTTTACTATTAAACAAGAAAAGATGCTACTACGATTTACATACTATAATTTTATATACTATAAATAATTAACTGCCATCCTCGTAAATAGCTCGCTTTGAGAGTTGATATTTATTTATAGATATTTCAAAATTGCTGATTTTCGAGATGTCTCGTTAATTTATCACCGGTGATACTGTGTCTGTAATTCTAATTACTGTACACGTTAATAACTGTTATCCAATGAAGGTATTAAATCGATCGATCGTTAGTGGCTCTGATTTCGGAGAAAAGCGACTGATAACGACACCAGGAACACCGTCAACGTCAGAAAACGTTCTGTTCGCTGTACGAGAACCTCAAAGAAAATTGTAAGAAATAATTGTGTCAGTCGGTTGAACAAATTATCGATACAGTTCCGGTATACGTACCGAAGAAACAGTTTTAAGAGAGAGAGAGAGAGAAAAGGTACATAATTTTCTTCCGATGGTTCTAATCATTTACCCGGCATCCTTTTCTTTCCATCGTTCGTTCCGTTCAACGATGTAGTAGTACTTAACCCTGTCCCTTCATCTGCTCTTTTCAATTTTGAAATTTCCATCCTATACAACCTACATACGGAACTTACGCATCTCGAGTACGAAGCTCTCGTTAGAGAGATCGACGAATGGATCAGAGCTTCGAAATGGAACGGAATTATGAACTGATCGTAGATCTTCCTCGTCCCTATTATTTATTCAGTATTGGTACATATCTGTACGCTGCTTGGACTTGAATATTTTATAGAAAGCATTGGCCGTGTCGGCGCTTCTCGTGGTATGATACGAAGGCTGGATGCGCGTTGACGATCGAACGAATCGTAAAATCGATGAGAAACGAGCGTGAAGGTATCGAGGAAAGACCTTTTTTACCGGATTGGCGAAACCACCAGATCAGGCTTGGCCGAGTCGAGAAAGGGAAGCACCGATGGCGTGGTTTGTTACGCTGCTATTTTCTTCACTTCTCTTCACTTCTCTTCTCTTCTCTTCTCTCCTTCGTCTATACCCGTCGGGATCGGCCGTCTTAATTAACGAACGATTTTTGCGGAGGTCAGCCGAGTGAAAAGGATACCGTTGAGACTTCGGAATCGGACATTATATTATACGAAATCGATGGATTCGTTCCATCAAAGAACTCGAGGCTTTTCTGACTCCTGTTTAATTTTATAGCTTGGCCATTCATCGCCTTCTCATCCCCCCTTTCTCTACTTTTGAATAAGGAACACGACGGTCAGACGAATTCGTTTCACTTGCAATTAACTTGAAAAACTTCCGGTGCATGGCAAACGCATTCACGAGCACCGATTAAAACGTTACGCTAGCTGGTTTAATAAGAACAAATTTGAACTTGGAAGTCCGGCACGAAATCTCATAATATTTGAATTACATACGCTTTCCTGATTTTTCTTGCCTTTTTTTCCTTTTATCTGGAGACGCGTACGAAATAACTGAGGTACTAACATTTTCACGAAGCGAAGCCCTGATTTCCATCGGAAAATGAACGCTCGAGGTTTTATACGCGATTAAAACTACCCTCGAGACGCGGATTCTTTAAACCGGTGCACGCTATTCCTTGGTCCGCCTGGTATCTCGTTTCATCCATCATCATTATCCATCATCTCGCTTTCTCCTAGTTAGGACGTCAAACACCGAGGCCGAAACTTCTGGCCGTTTCCCCTACCATGATCCAGATTCCGGCTCGAAAAGATTTTCAATCGTAACCGACATTCCATCATCCTCAAACGCATCACGACCAACGGTCTGCAGGTGTGGACACCGGCTACGAGTAAAACGGTTGCTTCTCTCCTCCAACCTCATTGTTCCATTCTCTCCCCCCTCCCTTGGTACAGCCACCCTTTTTCTCCCTACTCCTGTAGGTTCGTCGTCATGTACTTCTCATTCTGTTCACCGAGTGGCCCCCTCTTCTCCTCTCTTTCTCACATCGAAAGTGGACACATGCTTGGCCCTAGTCACCGTCCCTACGAATTCCAGGGATCAATGCGTCGGTGCACCAAAACGCCTGCGCCACCCCC